AAGTGGTGGGGTGGTGTGTGTTTTGGTTGGTTACCTAACCCAATAACCCGCAACAATGGCCTTGTTGTTGTTTGTCTTTGATCCCAAATTGAGAAGAATTCAATGGACCAGAGCTTTATCATTATCTTATCACATGTGATGTGATGTGATGATCGTGTTTTTTATTTAATACCAGAGCTTTCTTCCGGGGAGAGGCTGGTAAAAAGATTCACATGCTATTAATATTATACAGAGGCTAAAACCAAACTGTTTGGTTTTGGGTTGTTGCTCAAATTTCGTTATCAGGTAACTAGTATACTAGGATATTTTATCCATTAGGCACCAGAAATAGAAAAGTAGAAGCAAAGTAAATCGTGCAATGTGATGTACTAGGATAAATAAATCTATTGATTGTTACTGGTTTCCTAAAAGTGTTACATACCGTAATGAAGCCTCAACTCAGGCATTAAAATACTGTTAACATTAATTAATTAATTAATTAATATTAAGAGTAAAGCAAATGAATAGGAACACCAAAACGTACCCATTTGTCCAGGATATGTTGGAATTTTGCTGGTGAGGTCTGAATTAACTGCTACCGTTGATCAGATAGTTTGTTTATAAAGTGGTCCTTCCTCTTTCTTAATTGTGTTGGATTAGGTATCCCTATTTGAGCTGGCTCTGGGCCGTTGGATGGAGACTGGGGTGGGGTGGGGGAATGAATTCAATATACATATCTAGAATGGCTGCAGCCTGCAGGCATATATACATTTACATATTTGAGCTCGTAAATGTTAAAAAAACCTACTCTAGTCTCGCTTATTAATTGATGATGATTATAATCCAAGATTAATTAGTTGTTATAATGATTATAATATCCAAGATTAATTGATGGTCAGTGGAAAATTCATTCATCTGTGACTGGAATGAATGAGAATATATAAGAAGGAAGGTTAGGGAGTGAAAGGAAAAGCGATGAGTAATATTCATCGAATATGGTAGCTTGGTAACTCTCACTGAACATGTTAATACCAATAAAGAAACAGCCAAGAGCAAACTAGCTTAGCCTTAAATTCAGCGAAATTCTGCAAGTCTCAACTTGCAATGACTGAACCGATTCTCTCTCTCTCTTTCTCTCTCTCTCTCTCTTCAAAACCCAGAAACCTTTAAGCTTTCTTCTTCTCTCAACTTGAGAGTCTTAAGCAGCCACCACACCACCTAACCACCATGAGCCATCCCAGCCACCTCCCCCTTCTGTCTCCCTCCCTCACCGATCAATGCAGATACATACAAGCTCAAACTCGTGGATCAAACTCTGAGAAATTTTCAAGCCCAGATTAGCATTTGGAGCCTCCATGAAGATCACAACCATGGCTGAAGCAGAACTAGGTATATATATATAGGTGGCGTGGCATTATGGAATATGCCTCCTGAACTCATCTGAACTGCATCAGCTAGCTGTAGTCAGAGAAAAAAGATCAAGTACTATCATCACTAGCTAGAAGAGAAAGACTCATGTTGGCCATGAAGATTTTAATTAGCTTGCAACTTTTAGGCTTGACGTTATTGTGTGTTGGCATCTTCCATTGCCAAGCTTGGCCTCGTTATACTTTTGTGGTAATTATTAGTATAGTATTATATCATCTTAATTACTAATTGATTAATTAACTCCTCTGATATTTTATATTGGTGTGTGTGTGTGTGAATGTATCAATTGCATGCATGCATGCATGGTTATGTAGATATGATCATGTTGATTGATTCAGAGCTTGAAATAAACAAAACTCATGAAGGATATCTTCTGGTTGGATATCTTTGTAAATATTGTAGGTGGAAGAAACTCCATACAGAAGACTGTGTAGCACAAAAAACATATTGACCGTAAACGGTCAGTTTCCTGGACCAACACTGTATGCTCGCACGGGAGATACTATCATCGTCGATGTCTATAACAAGGGCAATCGTAACATTACTATCCACTGGTAATATTAATTAATTAATTTATTTAAATATATTATTTTTATGTAATTGTGACTTGTGATATATAATTAAAGGATTTCATTTCAGGCATGGAGCTAAGCAACCAAGGAATCCATGGTCGGACGGTCCTGATTATATCACGCAGTGCCCAATCCAACCAGGAGGCAGGTTTACCCAAACTATCATATTTTCCTCAGAGGAAGGCACGCTATGGTGGCATGCTCATAGTGAGTGGGATCGAGCCACCGTCCACGGCGCTATAGTCATCTACCCCAAGAAAGGAGCCACTTACCCTTTCCCCAAGCCTCATGCAGAATTTCCAATCATTTTAGGTACGTAATGCAAAATTAATTCGACAATAATATAATGTTATTGGATATATACATGTTCAACAAATTGACTTGAAAATTGTAGGGGAGTGGTGGAAGGAAGATATAGGACAGCTTTATAATGAAACTATTCAAAGTGGAGGGGACCCTAACATTTCCAATGCTTTCCTCATCAATGGTCAACCTGGCGATCTTTATCCTTGCTCAAAACCAGACACAGTCAAGCTGATGGTTGATTATGGGAAGACCTACCTGCTAAGGCTAATCAATTCAGCTGTGCAAGAGATTCTGTTTTTCTCGATTGCCAATCACAAGGTCACGGTTGTGGGCTCAGATGCTAGCTACACCAAGCCATTTTCATCAGATTATGTCACAATATCACCCGGCCAAACCATTGACCTCTTGTTCACTGCTGACCAGAGCCCCAACCACTACTACATTGCTGCTAAAGCCTACGTTGGTGGGGCTGGGATTGTTTATGACAACACAACCACCACCGCCATACTACAATACAATGGAAATTATACCTCAACTTCAACCCCTTCCTTTCCTAATCTTCCTTCCCATAACGACACCAAAGCATCGGTTCATTTTACTGGTAGTCTCAGAAGTCTAGCTGATCAAAACCACCCAGTTGACGTGCCGCGCGAGATAACAACTTCATTGTTTTACACACTTTCTGTCAACACACTACCATGCCTAAAAAATTCATGTGCAGGGCCTAATGGGACACGTCTGGCCGCTAGCGTCAACAACATTAGCTTTGTCGACCCCAGCATTGACATATTGCAGGCTTACTATTACCATGTCAATGGGGCATTTGGAACTCGATTTCCGAATTTCCCACCTTTTCTGTTTAATTTTACTGCTCAGGACTTGCCATTGTACTTACAGACCCCGAAACAGGGGACGGAAGTGAAGATACTGGAGTACAACGCGACGGTGGAGATTGTGTTTCAGGGGACAAATTTGGTTGCAGGGGATGACCACCCAATGCATCTCCATGGATTCAGTTTCTATGTT